AGGTAATTTACACGGAAGACCCACGCCGGGGCCAGCCGGGCCTTGGGGCCCTGCACCCTGTGCAAAGTCAGCGCGAAACAGCCACGGTGACTAATAGACGTACACCGGGACCAAAGCGTCCACCGGCTCCTTGGTTTTGCGGCCCAGCAGCCTGTAGCGCGACACATCAGCGACGGAAAGAAGTGAGGCATAAACAGCTTACTCCGGGACCGGCTGGGCCTTGACGGCCGCCTGCGGGCCCTTGACGCCCAGCAGCCTGCGGTTGGTCAGCGCTGAAATAGCCTGGAGAGACGAGCACGTACACCGGGGCCCTGCGGCCCACCGGCGGGGTTTAGCGGCCCTCCAGCCTGTGGCAAGAACTCGTCAGCGATTGGGTACTAGTGGCAAAGAGAACGCACGCCGAAGCCAGGCGGGCCTTGCCGTGCGCCATCCTGGGGCTAGAACGAATCAGCGAGCGTGGGGGCATGAGAGCGGAAGCCGTACGCCAAACCCTGGCCCTTGTGGCCCATCACCCAGTCTCCCTGGGCGGCCAGCGAGGTCCTACCATTGCCACGTGTCAGCCAGCCCTGCACATTGCCTCTCCACGAACACGCACCGCGTCCGGGAATTGCGGGATCGGGGCTGCCCAACTCTGCAGCGCGAAGAGCATAGTGCACACAAAGGCGACGGAGACACGCATGGTGGTAGAAAATTCGGTGTCGGAAAGACGGTGTTAGAGAAGACGCAGGGCACGGCCGAGCGAGAAGAGACGAGGAGGAAGTGAAGGGTGGCGCTGCCGGGGAGAATGCCCGCCGTCCTGGAGAGGGCGGCCTCATATAGGATTGCGTCTGTACATGGTGGCGGGAGAAGAGGCCCGCGACAGCTGTCAATCACAGATGATGGCAGCGGGAGATGGCAACAAGCTCAGTGATGGCGACACGTAGCGGCGGCGAGTGCTTAACGCAGGCGCGGACCTCAGGCGCGGACCTCAGGCGCGGACCTCAGGCGCGCTGGCGCTGTGCTGCGACCCACGCCTGCACGGCCACCTTGCGCACACGGGCAAAATTTCGCTCGCAACGCGGCCGGCGAGCCACGCAGCTTCTACTTACTTGCCAAGGCCCAGAGCCTGTCTGCCGTCGAATCTCCACCGCAACGCAGCAAGCCAGGGCCCACGCTCCCACCGCCGATCACTTCGCGGTTAAATTGCCCAATGCCCGCTCTTGCGGCAAAACGGCCGGCGGCGTGATTCTTGCAGCCGCTTGGCGCCCTAAATGTCCAAGTTCCTCTAATACCTTCAATGAAATCGAATTTTATAGCGTCTGAACTGTCCATAATATATTTTGGTTCTTCTCTCTTTTCTTCAACACACCTTACTATACTGTATTTGAGTATTCTGTGACTATAATATAGTATAGTTATAACATAATATACCCCTAAATGTCCAAGTTCCTCTAATACCTTCAATGAAATCGAAGTTTATAGCGTCTGAACTGTCCATAATATATTTTGGTTCTTCTCTCTTTTCTTCAACACACCTTACTATACTGTATTTGAGTATTCTGTGACTATAATATAGTATAGTTATAACATAATATACAAAAAAGGCAAACACTGGCACCATTGCACTAATAAACACCAGAACAATAATCCAAGAATGCAAACTTTTTAAAGTTGAAAACATTTTATACTAGTAGCAGGGATAATTATGTATTGTTCTGGTCAGTTGTAGCCAAATTTATCAATAAATGCAGTGTAAATATAAGTCTATACTGTGTTATAGAGATTTTCAGGGGAACTTCCCTTTCAGCCTGCCGCTTCCAATTCCAATCCTGATGCCAGTCCAATTCCGATTCCAATGATTGTATCACCGCCTCCATCAAGCGCATCACTGCTGAGACATACTGCAAAAGAAGTATTTGATACATGTTTCAAACTGGATACAACTTTTTGGAGGTATAACTTGTGCTTTTAGAGTTTTTAGATACAGCTTTGCAAATTAGACACAGATGATATCAGTGATGACTGGCCAAAAAAGTCCAAGTTATTCAGATAACCTGCATGCAGAAGTAAAGTTGGACTTGGAAAAGTTGTTCAACTGGCTAGTGGTACCCCCCAAAAAAGTTGTACTCAAGAAAAATTTGCATTTTGGAAAGTTGTATGTAATGATATGGGCGGTATACTGTATCATAAGTTTTTTGCAAGTTTTAACTTTTTTTCCCCCTTTTTTTTGTACAACTTTGAATTGTCTTTTTTAACATGCTAAAAGTGAGAACAACTTCCAAAAGAATGGATTCAACTTTCTATCTTCACTAACAACTCACAACTTATTTGCTGCAACTTTCTATCCTCCCATTACAACATTTGAATTAGTTGTTGGTTGCAACATCCAAGTTGTTGGCTGCAACCGAAAGCCCATCAGGAAGACGCGTGACGGAGTCGCTGTGCAAATCTCTTGACTCTTGACGGCAGCAACACGACAAGGATGATGACGGTGGCATCAAACCGGCCAAGTTAAAGAAAGTCTTCAATGTGTTGATCCCATTGGGATGTTCATGCGGTGAGAGTCATTTTTATCTTCTATCTCATGCTGAGAGCTACCGTAGCTGGTATGGGGTCATTAAGCGCCGTGTCTATCGTGTTTGTGGCGCTAATGCTCTTTTGGCACCACGACGGAAATGAGAAACTCAAGCCATGGGGTTTCTATGATATTTCAGCATCTTAAAAAGTCTCAACTCCTTCATATGGACAACACAATCAAACGAGCCTCTTTCTAGGTTTGGCGCTGATTCAGGCTCAGAGTACAAGTCCGTACCCCCCTCGTCACTGCCCCTGCCACTTGACCCCTCCTCCTCTGCTCTTGTCGTCTTTATGCCCGCTATATTTACCGGAGCTGCTCCGGACGCTGACGCGCACATGGACGCACTTGAGGCGAAACTAACGGAGATTGCAAACACGGCCGCACCTTCCTATACGTGGTTAAGACTCATGCCCCATACACGAGGCAAAGGAAACAAGGTGAACGCCTAAAGGATATAAGTAAACAAACACAAGTCCAAATGGGTAAAGATCCGAGTTGATGGTCAGAGGGTCCGTACAGGTCTGAGGGAGTCTGCGTGCAGATTAACTGTTTGAAGGGAAACGCTCAGATACCTTCATCGCGTAAAAACCCTGTTGCGCTCCAAGGATAACCTCGGAGCGTCCGAAGATGCACGGGATATAAGAGCTATAAATACTTTGATGCATTACTACATACTTCAGTTTGTAAATTAACGTTGCCGGTCTCTATCTCCCAGCGTCATCTTGACTGTGCTCTTATCTTCTTGTTGTCAGGGGAACCTCCCTTTCGGCCCCTCGGAGACGATTCCGATTCCGGTCCGACTCCGGTTCCGACTCCGGCGATCGCATCACCGCCTCCGTCAGGCGCATCGCCGCCCCCGCCTGGCGATCCCCCTGGGACCTGGCCTGCGACATGGCGCAGGCATACTGCACGGAGCAACGATCAACCTTGGCGCGTCAAGAGCGCAGTATATAGTTCCGCTACCTAGCAGGCAGACCCTTAGAGTTTCTTCTCTTTGGATCCTCCCCTGCTAGGTCAGCCTCACTTGTATTTGCTTACTTCTATTCACTCTTTGGATCCTCCCCTGCTAGGACCTTGATCTCAGGCCTCCGGGGTTGCCCTTACACTTGTCTCATCTTGGTCAACTGGAAGCCCCGGTCACCCAAACATCCTTCTGTGGTGTTCCGCCCCCAAGTGCTCTCCGACTTTGACTTCGTTTCCGACTCCGACTCTGTCTCCGGTCCTTTGGTCGACACGGCACTTAACACCCTCCGTGTATCTCCATAGTTTTTATTCACGCTTTGGATCCTCCCCTGCTAGGCTTTCGTCGGAGTCTCAGGTTAACAGAAGCCTTGCTCTGAGGTTATACGGAGAAGCCTGGACTCTGGGGTTAAACAGAGGCCTTACTCTGAGGTTATACGGAGAAAGCCTTGAATCTGAGGTTATACCAAGATTACCATTTCTATTTTCTATTCACAGTAACTTTACTGTTTTTGTTATCTTATCTTCTCTTATTCTAAGAGAAGACTCAATCAACTGACTTGGAGTATTGTTTGATATTTGGGTGTTGTTGCACGAACTGAACTGAACCCTAAATCCATTATCACCTACGTGTATCAATTATCAATTGTCTCTGACTACATGTTTCGCTAACATTGGTGATTCGGCCCATAGGCATGAAAACATTTTTATACTACCTTGATAGAACTTCTATATAAATATATTCAGTATATCTTTATCCATGGATATGGGTACACAGCCAACATGGATACAGATACAGATAGAGTCCCACATACCCAAAGGTATATCCGTGCCACTCCCTGTAAATATGTCACTCCTAGGAATATGTCTGGCTACCAAATGCATAAGGTAGTGGTAGTCGGGCTCTGTCAGAGAGCAGTCACTTGAGCCGTCTGTATCTTGACTAGAAATATATACGTTTGGGGGCAATTTGTCTGGGTGAGGCCGAAAACCGCGCGGAAAATGTCCTAAAAGCGGCCCGCAGAGCCGAGACTGATGGGAGGCATCTCGCACTGGCGGTGGCCTCACACGACGCGGAAAGGGTGTGGACGGCAAGAAGTGGGCGTCGGACAACCCACACGGAGCGCTGCGACCAGCGAAGCGCGTCCGACGGCCGCTATGTCGGACACCCTGTCGGAGCAGGAAAGCGCAGTGTAAAATAATCTTATTCTTATGTAAGTCAATGTGAGGGTACAACATCGATTTCGCTGGAAATATCTTCTGCCAGTTTGTGTCTCTTGGCAAAGGAAGTGAGGCTGGCTGACCAAGCGTGAACCAACGCCACGGGGATAACTGTCTCCAGACGACGCCAATAAATGAGGAAACAGGTGGAAGACCACCCTCCGATCTTCATCACTATCTCTGGTTCAACACCAAGGCAGAGGAGATGGACGGAGCCACCAATGCGAAAACTGTGACCGAAAACTTGGTCCAACGCAGAATCTCAGAATATGGAAGAAATGAAAACGAGGAAGTCGGTTTTGATTGTCGGGGACCAGCAGTTGCCGTCGCAGTAAGCGAAGAATGGAGTGTTATGGTCCGGGGAGTGGTTTATGTGCAGGTGGTTATCGAGGGCTTTAACAGGGCACAGGTCTCGAGTACCAGTTGTCTTCGTCCATGGGAGATGCAAAGACACCACATCACGGCCTGCCTGTTGTGAACGCGAGATGGTTGTCGAACGTGAGACGTCGTGAATGGCCTTGAAGGACTTCTTTGTCTCCAGGGTGAGCTCTCCCAGTCGATGACAGCCCCAGAAGCAGCACAAAGCGAGGGCCCAGAATGCCACGTCGCGGGGTCTTGAAATGACAAGTCGTTGTCGGAGTGCGCATAAATGCTCGAGGGGGACCGGACCCCGCGGTGGGCGTTTGAACTCCGTGCCTTTCTTGGCCACTGAGCGAACAACTTTGGATACACATTCCACGTCACCGTGCCAAGGCGCAAGGTTGATGTGGTGCCAGTAGGCGAGCCTGTTAAGCCAGTTCTTGGCGCAAGAGCCTGAAGTTTTACCGGCGGCTGAGGAGATGAAGCAAGCAAGCAAGAAGGGGTCCGCCGGCATGCGAAACTCTTCGGGGATATTCCTATCATCACACCACTGAGTGAATTGCAGGGGCCCAGCAGCATAAGTCGATAGAGTGTTCTCCGTGACCCCATTGTTGATCTCTGCCAGCGCGAGGGCTTGGTCTTCGAGCAGAATATGGGCACGATATGATTGCTGTGAAGTGCTGAATGGTGTGCACCATGCGAGGAAGCGATGGGTAGCGGGGACGGGAGGCCGATACGGGGATGGACGGATGTTATTCCCGAGCTTAGCGCGACAAGGTTTCGATGTGCCGAAAGAGTGGGCGATGGCAGCTAGCCGTACGTTACGAGTTGCTGCATGGTTATCGTTGGGGTGTGAGGCCGGCAGGAGATGTAAAGCACCTATCTCTGGGGTTGAGGTGTCGTGCGGAGACGGACCTGCGGGAAGTGATTGTGCTGGAGGTGCCGAGGGCTCGGAGCTGGGTTGGCTGGTCATTCTGACCCGTAAGCTCGCGAGTGCTCTGGAGTTTTGAGAGACGAGGCCAGTACGAGGTTTGTCGGTTTGCACAGGGGCAGCGGGGAGCTGCCCAGTTTCTTGGTTCTTTGAGAGGATGGAGTGGAGAGCATACGTGGGCACTTGCGAGCTCTTGGAGATTAGGTTAGAGTATGAGGCAGGCATTGACACGACCTCGTGATGCGTTAGACAGGGGTACGAATATTACAATTGAGTGGTGAGCGACGACATGATGTCTGGAGGAAACGTGAAGTTACATGCGAGTTTTCTAGTTAGTGACGGTAAGATACCGCGCGAAATCGGGTCTGCAGGATTTGTCAGGGGAACCTCCCTTTCGGCCCCTCGGAGACGATCCCGATTCCGGTCCGACTCCGGTTCCGACTCCGGTGATCGCATCACCGCCTCCGTCAGGCGCATCGCCGCCCCCGCCTGGCGATCCCCCTGGGACCTGGCCTGCGACATGGCGCAGGCATACTGCACGGAGCAACGATCAACCTTGGCGCGTCAAGAGCGCAGTATATAGTTCCGCTACCTAGCAGGCGGACCCTTAGAGTTTCTTCTCTTTGGATCCTCCCCTGCTAGGTCAGCCTCACTTGTATTTGCTTACTTCTATTCACTCTTTGGATCCTCCCCTGCTAGGACCTTGATCTCAGGCCTCCGGGGTTGCCCTTACAGCAGAAGAAACTCTCTACGGGATCAACCGGACAAGATTGCTAGGTTCGGCGCTGACTCAGGCTCGGAATACGAGTCCGTTCCGCCCTCGTCACCGCCCCTACCACTTGTCCCCTCCTCCTCTGTCACTCCTGTCGTCCCCGCACCTGTCATGCCTTCCGGAGCTACTCCTGACGCTGACACTCGGCTGGATGCACTCGAGGCGAAAATCGACCGCCTAACTGAGGCCCTTACTCTTCTCACCACCCAGGCTTCCGCTGCCGCTGCCGCCGCTAATACTGCTGGCGGACCCCAAACAACACCACCCCGGAGACGTCGATTCCGACTCCGACTCCGGTTCAGGGCGATTCGAAGCCCTCTTTGGCGACATCAACCTCGCCTCAAAATTGGTCTTGCGACCAAACCCTCCGTTCACCTTCAACGGCGATCGAAACGCGGCCGCGTTCCTTTACGCGGTCCGCACCTACGCCCGCCTTGCCCCTGAGGCCTTTGTGGTCAACGGAGAGGCGAGTGAGGAAAAGGCCGTCCGCTATGCCATGTCGTTTATGGCAGAAGGACCCGCTCAGCAATGGGCGGAGCGCCACGGAAGCAAAGCCCCGTTTCCGTTTCCGTCCTGGGGCTCGTTCGTTTCCGAGTTTCGACTCCGGTTCGTCGAGGAGAACGAGCAAGATCATGCTCTCTCCAAACTGGAGACTTCCGCCTATCACATGGGCACAAAGGATGTCTACCAGTACACCGACGACTTCGAGGACCTGATGGACCTCGCCGGATTCGAAGACGCGTTGGTCAAGGTGACCAAGTTCCGCCACGGACTTGACCCCTTGATCAACAACGGAATCACGTCCTCGAACGACCCCCCGGACCTCCGGGACTACCTTAGCTGGCGCACCCGGGCCTTCCGTCAATACGAGGCCCTGGTCCGGGCCAAGCTGATCAAGTCAGCCGCCCCCAAGACGCCTGGCGGTTTGATTCGGACTCCGTTTCCGGTCAACCGCATCCCGGCTCCGGCCCTTTTCCGCCCGGTGGCTCCGGTCGTGCCACCCGCGGCCCGCGCCCCGCTCCGGCGCCTCCAGCTCCCGTCCCCATGGAGTTGGATCGCACTAGGGCTCGGGGTGCCCCTCGTCGCGCCTGCTTCAGGTGCGGCGACCCAAACCATCTCGCCCGGGATTGCCCCCTCCCCGCGGACGTCCGCTCAATGGACATCCTCGACGAGGTGATCCAACAACTCGGTGACGAGATGTTAGCGGAGTTGATCGCCCGCTACTCGGACACAGCTGCGCTGCCGGAGACAGCTGCGGAGTCGATGGCCGGAGAGGATTTTGTCCCCGCTGACGAGTGACTGGTGTGCCCTCGTTCGCGTCCATAAATCGTTTCGCTTGTTTGTATGACGAATCAATTCCTTTGCCCTACAACGAGCCTGAAACGAAAGACATACCCTCCCCTGCCCCCATTTCGACTCCGTCTCCGACTCCGCCCGCGACTCCGGTCGTCGTCCTTCGCCGCCTCACTGCCTGGGAAAAGAAATTGCCCAAGCAGTACACTGTCGCTGCCTCCCCGGAGTAAACTCCCTCCACCTCCCGTTGGAGCTAGAGTCCACCACCAGTGCGTTGAAGCTCTCCCTTTCTGGGCTTGTTGACTGTGGTGCCACCTCCGACTTCATCGACACGAACCACGCCGCTCGGAATGGCATTCCGGTCCGCACCCTGGCGCAGCCGATTCCGGTCTTCAACGTCGATGGCACTCCGAATGATGCTGGCTCCATCAACCAGATCGCGGACTTGGTCCTACGCTACAAAGGCCATTCCGAGCGCGTTCAACTCGCCGTCACCCATCTCGGTAAACAAGACCTCATCCTGGGGTACTCTTGGCTGCGGAAGCATAACCCAGAGATCGATTGGGAAACCAAGGAGGTCAAGATGACGCGGTGCCCCCGCGGCTGCTCCACTTGCCGCGAGGAAGAACGCGTTGAACGGACTGAGCTACGGCGACTCCGGCTGCTCCAGAAGCGACTCCGCTCCGGCCCGTTCCCCTCGGTCTGCGCCATGGACCTTTCTGGGTCTGATGACGGAGACGATTCCGTCTCCGGCGACGACTCCGGCCTGCCTGATCTGACGCCGGACTCTGACGACGACGATGACGATGGTCAGCTTGAAGATGGTGACCGCATCTTCTACACCTCGTTCCGTCCCTCGGAGGAGATACGCGCTGGCAGTACTGTCTCGCAGCGCCTGGCTGAAGCCTTCGCCAGGAACTCCGCTCCCCCCGCCCTCCGAGATCCCGGACTGGGCTAAAGAGTTCCAGGACGTCTTCAACAAGGAGTCTTTCGACACGCTCCCGGAACGGGAGAACCTGGGACCACGCCATCGAACTCGTCCCCGACGCTAAGCCGGCCAACTGCAAGGTGTACCCCATCTCGCCCCTTGAGCAACGCGAGCTCGACGCGTTCATCGAGGAAGGGCTGTCGACGGGCCGGATTCGCCCCTCCAAGTCTCCGATGGCGTCTCCGGTCTTCTTCGTCAAGAACAAGGACGGCGGACTCCGCTTTGTCCAGGACTATCGGGCCCTCAACGCGATGACCGTCAAAAACCGGTACCCCCTTCCGCTGATCAACGACCTCATCAACCGGCTCAAAGGCGCTCGTTACTTCACCAAACTCGACGTTCGTTGGGGCTTCAACAACGTCCGGATCAAAGAAGGTGATGAGTGGAAGGCAGCTTTCCGGACTAACCGAGGCCTGTTCGAGCCCTTGGTGATGTACCCGGCCTGACAAACTCTCCCGCGACGTTCCAAACGATGATGAATGACATTTTCCAGGACCTCATCCTTTCCGGAGACGTCATGATCTACCTGGACGACATCCTGATCGCCCATTCCGACCTCCGGAAACACCGACAGATCGTCCAGGAGGTCTTGCGCCGACTCCGAGAGCATAAGTTGTACCTCCGAGCGGAGAAGTGCGACTTCGAAAAATCGTCAATCGAATACCTCGGAGTCATCATCTCCCACAACCACGTCGAAATGGACCCCGTCAAGGTCGCAGGCGTCTCCGCCTGGCCGACTCCGGAAAACAAGAAGGATGTTCAGCAGTTCCTTGGGTTCGCTAATTTCTACCGCAGGTTCATTCGCGACTTCTCGGCCCTCGCGCGTCCTCTCTTTGCGCTCACCAAGAAGGACCAGCAATGGACTTGGGGCGACGCGGAGGCCTCCGCGTTCCAAGCGATCAAGGACGCGGTCACCTCGGAACCGGTCCTGGCGATTCCGGACGACGCACGGCCTTTCCGACTCGAGGCGGACAGCTCTGATTATGCGACGGGGCGGTTCTTTCACAATCCGCCCCGGACGGGAAGTGGCACCCTGTAGCATTCTATTCCAAAAGCTTAAATGATGTCCAGCGCAACTACGAAATCCACGACAAGGAGATGCTCGCGATCATCCGCGCACTCGAGGAGTATAGACACTTCCTCGAGGGTGCCGCGCATCCCGTCGAGATTTGGACTGACCATAAGAATTTGGAGTACTTCAGGAAGACGCAGCACCTCAACCGGAGACAGGCCCGCTGGTCCCTCTACCTCTCCCGGTTCGACTTCACGCTGCACCACAAGCCCGGTCGCGACATGGGCCGACCTGACGCCCTCTCTCGGAGACCCGACCACGGAATCGATTCCGACAACTCCGGACGTCGTCCTTCTGCGGCCCGAACTCTTCCATGTCCGCGCTCTCGAAGGTGTTTCCGTTTCCGGTCCCGGGTCCGAACTTCTTCGCGACATTCGCGATGCCCTCTCCGGTGAGCCTGACCTGGAGGAGCCCGTCGCACTAGCGGCCCGGCAACTCCTAAAGGTCCAAGGTCAAGCTCGAGGCCCCCGCTCCTCACGCTCCGACGAGTGGGCCGTCTCCGGTGGTCTTCTCCACTTCCGTGGGAAGATTGTCGTGCCCAAGGACAAGGACCTCCGGAGGCGCATCATCGAGCTCTGCCATGACACTCGAGTCGCCGGACATGCCGGTCGCTTCAAGACCTTGGAGTTGGTCTCCCGGAACTACTGGTGGCCTCAGATGTCTCGCCATATCGGCCGGTACGTCGCGACCTGCGACTTGTGCTGTCGCACCAAGGCGCCCGGAGACTGCCCCACGGAGAGCTACACCCGACGGAAACACCCCCGGAGCGCTGGCATACCGTCTCCGTCGACTTCATTGTCGAGCTCCCGAGGCCCATGGGTACGACGCGATCATGGTCGTCGTGGACACCCTTGGGAAGCGAGCCCACTTCTCCGAGTGCCATACCACGGTCGACGCAGTAGGAGCAGCCCGCCTCTACTACCGGAATGTCTGGCGCCATCACGGGACTCCGGAGAAGTACGTCTCCGACCGTGGCTCACAGTTCATCGCGGACTTCACCCGAGAACTCTGGCGTCTAATCGGCATCAAGCCAGCCACGTCCACCGCGTATCATCCGCAAACGGACGGTCAGACAGAGCGCGTCAACCAGGAGTTGGAGCAGTACCTGCGGATCTTCACCAACTATCAGCAGGACGACTGGGATGAGCTGATTCCGGCCGCGGAGTTCGCTTACAACAACCACGTCCACTCATCCACGCAGCAAGTCCCCTTCATGACGGACACGGGACGGCTTCCGCGCATGGGCTTTGAACCCGGAGCCCGTTCCGCTATGGAGTCTGTGAACGAGTTCCGCGACCGAATTGCCACTGGGGTTGCCGAAGCCAAGGCCGCGCTCACTAAGGCCAAGGAAGAGTATAAGCGCTACTACGACCGGAGACGCACTCCGTCTCCGGAGTTCAAGGTTGGCGACCGTGTTTGGCTGGATGCCTCTGACATCAGGACGACTCGCCCCTCGGAGAAGTTCTCCCACCGCCGCCTCGGTCCGTTCAAGATAGTCGCGGAGATCAGCAAAGGTGCCTACAAGCTCGACCTCCCTCCCGCTACTCGAAGCTCCACCCGGTCTTCCCCGTCGTCAAGCTTGAGCTCGCCCAAGACGACCCCTTCGACGGACGCCCCCGGCTACGACCAGCCCCCTCCGGACCTCGAGGACGGAGTCCCGGAGTGGGAAGTAGAGGAGATCTTGGACGCAAGGGTGAGGTATAAACGGCTGAATTACTTCGTCAGATGGAAAGGCTACGACGCGTCGCACGACCAGTGGGTCCGCTTCGACCGCGTCTTCGCCCCGGACAAAATCGCGGAGTTCTACCGTAAGTACCCTGGCAAACCACGGCACATCGCCTCCGCAACCTTCGACTCGATTCCGTTCCGGTCTATGCGTCGGGACGCCGCATTCAAAGGGGGGGGTGATGTCAGGGGAACCTCCCTTTCGGCCCCTCGGAGACGATCCCGATTCCGGTCCGACTCCGGTTCCGACTCCGGTGATCGCATCACCGCCTCCGTCAGGCGCATCGCCGCCCCGCCTGGCGATCCCCCTGGGACCTGGCCTGCGACATGGCGCAGGCATACTGCACGGAGCAACGATCAACCTTGGCGCGTCAAGAGCGCAGTATATAGTTCCGCTACCTAGCAGGCGGACCCTTAGAGTTTCTTCTCTTTGGATCCTCCCCTGCTAGGTCAGCCTCACTTGTATTTGCTTACTTCTATTCACTCTTTGGATCCTCCCCTGCTAGGACCTTGATCTCAGGCCTCCGGGGTTGCCCTTACAGGATTATTTACTGAGCTGATGTAGTGAATTGATGGGGTGATGTTATGAGTAAGTAAAACTTCATATGAGCGGCGTACGCAGAGGTTGAGCTCTGCGTTGGAGCTGCGACCCTTTGAATGGGCGCCGATTGCACCAAAATTGTCTGAATGCATCTTCAAATGCGTGTTTGCAAGGCCGAGATTGGCAAGAAAAAGAATCAGGACCTCGAGAGCAACCGCTTCGAGCCAGCATATATCACGCAGGTGCAAGCCGGCTCGCCTCCAGTTCTCCCGCAATCTGAGGGCGAACCAGCGGTCACCGATGATGATACCGATACCCCACGAAGTCGATGCATCAACAAAGAGGCCGAGATCTTGCAACAGGGGCAGGGGGTGGATGGGCCGGGTGCGCGGATGGGTCATCGAGCCGGGTTAACCACCATTCCAACGCGGTACGGGCTACCTTTGAGACGTGTCGGAGCATAAAACTGTTTTTGTAGCCGTGCATCAGCGAGGAGATGGCGGGAAGGCGGGAAGCGCCGTCGCGATGTACAAAGGAGATGTGGACGAGGGTGCCATGAATCCGTTGGACGTCATGCAAGGAGACGGTTTTTTGTGTGAGGAAATCTTTGACGCGGTGTCGGTACTTGATTCGTTTCTCTTCTGGCAGGGAGACAGTCCAGTTGGCGATATCCCAAAGGAAGCCAATAAAAACAATCGACGGGGTGAACTCGGAGCCGGATTTGACTGGATGCCAGGGAGCATGAAGGTCGTCGACAAGGTTAAGGACGTCGTGATGTGTGAGTGGGCTCGGAAAGCGGAAAACCGGTATGTCGTCCTCGTAGCGCATGGTTTTGCCGTTTTTACCCAGTCGCAGATCCCATATTCTCACTAAAGCACCGCCAGCTTGGCCTGCGTTGCTGCTCGCCGTGGAAAGACCGAAGGGGTGGGCGTGGTCGATGTAAAAATGCCCGCCGGATTCGAAAACGAGGTAGGGCTTGTGGAGGGGGTGGACCGGGACAGTTCGATGGAAAGACTGGAGGTCGAACGCGCAGGCAAGGGTGCCGTCGGGTACATTTGCGATCTGGGTGGTTGGTTAGATTCTTGACTTGATGCGAGCCTTGAATGAAGAAGAATAGCTGATCTAGGTTGCTCACACAACGCGTAAATGCGCGTGTCTAGATGCATGGCAAATGACGATCTAGGTCGCTTGCACAACACGTAAATGCGCGTGCCTAGACGGTTTGATAGGCCGAGGTGCTAGGTTGCTTACACAACACGTAAATGTGCGTGACTAGGACACCGTGTCGACGAGTGGAAAGAGGGAAGGAAGGGAAGGAAATAAAGCAATACTCACCACTTCTTCGACCTGATATGCGAAATCAAAACAAGTCGGGAAAAGGTCCTTGTCGACGAATGTGTTGAGGGCCGGGAGCCCGTTCTTCGTGTCGCCTTTTGAAAGGTTCCGACAAACTCGCAACTTCTCCGGAAGACCAGGGCCTTGAGAGCTTGCTGAGACAAGAAGCGGGGAGCTGACAAATGGGCCGCGAAGAATCCGTTCAACATCGGTTTTTGAGAAAGGGCCCGAGCATCGGCCTTTCGAGAGCTCTTTAGACACGTACTCTTGAACAGCGTCCGGATATTTCAGCATGGACTTGTGGTTGGGGATAATGTGGGTTGAGGAGAGAGCTGGCATGTCGCCGATGGGAAATCCGTGGCGAAGGTTGTGTAAAAGTTGCGGGAATTCATGAGTGATGCCTAAGTCGTTGAGTGCGCTCAAACGCGTCAATGCTGTAAGGTGTTGGCGTGTGACGGAATATTTTATCATCGTCCTCGGAGTAGGAGGGAGGGCGAGGGCGGGATATGAGGGAATCGGAGTGGTCCGGATAAGTTGGGGCAGTGGAGCAGTAAAGAGCGTCGGGTAATGAGCGTGTGGATGGAGGTGGTGGCCCCTCAATGGTTGCGGCAACCGTGTTCCGAACTGCCACAGCGAGAGCAGATATCAAGTGTCCCCTCGTGTCTGTACTCGCACCGGCGGCTGCGGGAAAGGTTGAACCCTATGCAAATGCATTGGCGCTCGCTGAAGCTGCGTGGGGCGGACACTGTCCTAGGGTGCTGTGAGTTGAACCTGTTTTGAAACCTGTTTCGAAACGGTTTCGAAACAGGTGTGAGTTTTGAAATGTCCGCAGCCCGACCGTGGGTTCGAAACAGGCACGTGACATATCCGGGATGCCCGGACATGTGTCTGGCATGTGAATCGTGCTCCCGGAACCGCAGCAGTAGCTGCAGACACATGTGTGGCCCTTAAGCATGTGTTCTGATATGCTGGATGGCATTTATGTGCAGCTCGCTCACTGAGCCGGCCCCTCTGTCATCGGCCCCGTCAGGCTGTCACTGGCCGGCGGCGACTTACCTCATCAAGCCGCCTGGTTTCGAAACAGTTTCGAAACGGGCCTGTTTCGAAACCGGTTTCGAAACAGCGGTGAGTAATTCTTTTTGAATTACTCACAGCACCCTACACTGTCCAGAGTCGGCCTTCCCAGCGCTCCGTGAAGAAGGGGCGGTCCCTCTTGTCTCGGTTGACGTCGGGGGGGTGCTCCAGGTATCTGTGCGGCCCGCTGCATATGAGGCAGAGGAGCAGTTCTTGCTGTCCACGGTATCCGGGGTGGTCCTCTCGAAAAAACCGCTGTTGTCGCTCGTCGTCTGGCTGTCGGGGACGATAAGTGTCGTCCCGGTGGTTGCGGGGGCCATAGCGGTCATCCCTGTCGCGGGGTCTATCAGAATCTCGGCCCTGTTGACGATAGTCAGCCCGTTCGCGATGATGAGAGCCCTCCTCTGTCTGGCCGGTATCACGCTCGCGCTCCCTCCAGTTGAAGCGCCGCTCTTGTGGCTGTTGGTCGGGTTGGGGCCGTTTCGCGGGAATAACAGGAGCCGTGTTGACGCGGTCCAGCAGGCGAGTTTCGTACAAGGTTGCAAAGGTATCGTGCTGGAGTTGCACGAAGGACTTATCTCCACACCATATTTCCTGGATTTTGGTCCAGGACCAGGGAAACCACAGCGTGATAAACTTCCCGGACTCCTTGAGGCTGCACATGAAGTCAAAGTGTGCTTTGACACCCGGAGCGAGCTTCAGCGCGCTGCCCGGCGACATTGTTTCTGGTGCGACATAGGCGGAGATCTTAACAAAAGTGTCGATGGCCTCGAAGAGTTCGGAAGCGCCGCCAGGGAAGGTGGTGCTTGAGAAAGTAGTACTGTCGGCCTTAATAGCGCGAAGGAAGACATCATTGTCGAAGATTGCCATGTTATGATTATCGAGGTTGACATTTTTGGTAGGGATCAACGATGGATTGGTGGCAAACTGGCTGAGGCGGGAGTCCGTTAGAGCATATAACACGACAGGTTCACGGTAGGCGAAGGCAGCAATGATTGGCCGAGGGATAATGATGTTGGATTGTGAACGAAGACCTTTGGAGAGCGGGATGAGGGAGTGCTCAAGCGAATGTTTTTCCTGCTTGTTCACACGCGAGAGCTCGGAAGTCCTCTCTGCCACGAGCATTGCAAAAGCAGTGGGCACGGCCCCAAAAGCCGCGTAGAGGTCTTTATTTGTCGCGCACAGTGTGATCTCGTCGTCTCCGTAAGTGTAGAGAGGCCGCAGAGGCGGCCCTACGTCCTTCGTGCCTTCCGAGTGCTGCAAGAAGTCATATCCTGCGGGATAGGGGGCCGGGATCTTCGCGTTAGGAAGGTCGGCGCCGTCTACATAGAAGCGTGTCATGGTGGGAAAGCGGCGGTGGTTGGACGGATGAAGCGCGTCGAGGCAGAGACGCGTCAGTCACACAGAGTCACGCGTGGCCATCAACAAACCGAAATGCATATATAGAGCTCTGCCCGACTACCAACTACCTTATCTAGCCCCTGGTTGGCTAGCAATACTAGTGTAGGATATACATTCCACATGACTATGAATAGTTGTTGCATTTATGGGCTTCCTCTTGAAGGAATCCATCACATGATTTAGCATCAAATAAATCAAAGACAATGAATCTTGACCTACATGCCCATCTAGAACAGCATTATAACTGAGAAAATGCAGTTAAATAAACCTGATAAACTCAAGTCCGTACCATGAAATTGTTGATTGTTTTATATTATCATGTTCCCATTTTTAACTGTTTTTAAATGGTAATAAACATTTACTAAATTTTTGTACCATTTCCGTTTAGTTTACCTATGTAAATGAAAACTAAATAGTTAATACTGCCCATACCGGGATATTCAAGTGCTGTTTTCCTCTTCAAGTTGGCATTGACACACCCCATTATTACTCTTATATTCAGCAGATGTCGTGTGAATGTATGCACATGTTTGACATTAGCTTTTAACACTTGATTTGCTCCACACTTGTCACTTCCATTTTTGGGTACTGCTGTTAAAGTCCTAAATTGGTAAGAAAAGCTGTAAAATATGACCAATCCTAAGTGGGATGCAGAGCTGTAAGTCATGTCTTGCACCCAGTACTGTGAACAACTTACAAGTTGTTCTTAAGGTTATTTAGAAGTAAATATTCTCAAATTGCCCACAAATCAAGAAATAATCAAGAAATAATTACAAATGTTAGTGACTTGGGTTGCACTCAACATATACTAACAAGAGATATTTAAGAAGGCTATAGGGGTGTACCATTCTATAGTCAGCAACAATGTTCTTAATTTGGAAATTCATGTTATTTAAGCAATATTCAAGTTCAAATATATTCAATTCATTCCATTGATTCTCCATAGAGGCGAGCTTCGGGCACCAACAGGTGGCTGTGCTTCCGAAGCACGTTGTGTAGCGGCATTCCGAAAAGGCGCTGAGTGCTTTCCCCAAGGTGTGTGAGGCCTTCGTCATTTGGATTGTGCTCGTGTAGCGCGAGAAGGCTGCAGCGGTGGGACCCTGCGTGGACTCGAGCCCAGCAAATGATGCCAAACGGATGGACACTCGGCGCGAGGGCCACAGTGCCGTCGTGGCAGCGCGTGAGGGTGGAGCCATCGGCCACCTGGAGGCGCTTCGGCTGGAGTAGGCGTCGTGGGGTCCAGCGGCCGGGCGGATTGAAGCGGCTCGTCGCGTTGTCGAGCTCCCACTCGGCGATGTCCGTCGGCCTGCACGTGAACGGCACTGCGGGCTTTCCGCTGAGCCTCGGCTTGCGAATGTCCACGATCACGGGGCCCGGCGCACGTGCCGCCGCGCGCGCCAGGATGGCACAGAGCGTCTTCATGGCCCGGTTAACAAAGATGTGTTGCCAGCCATTGTTAGACCATCTGACCTCAGCGTCAAAACGGACCGTGAGCCGGTGCAGCCGCGGCGCATGGCTCACGATGTGGTACAGCTCGAACAGCTGTGCGCCGAGTTGGGGAGTCAGAGATATGCTCTGCGGGACGATGAGCTCGACCGACAAGTCTGTGAGCGGCAGGGCTTCCAGGGGGACGTAGTGGGCCACAGCGCGCAGTACGTCCCGTCCGTAGTCGAGCTGGCCTGTCCGCACCCGGGCCCATTCGACGGGCCGTTCGCTTGCCCGCTCCGATGCGGCCCGGACGCACCGCTCGTTCAGCGCCTGGGACACATGCGCCAGCACCAGGGGGTCGACCAGTGACGCAATAACGATGTCCCAGAGCTCGAGCGGAAGTATATCGAGAGCGGCGCGTGGTGGCGGCATTGGGGGCCGCATGGCCTCAGTGAAGAAGAGTAAGTATTTAAGGCCGCTCGCCTGGGTCACCATGGTAATAGCCGTTTCTGTGTTATATTCATCAAGCAACGACGATACGCGTCAGCGCCGGGCGGCTGCGCTGCGACGCGACCTCGCCCGCAACGAGGGGAAAAGTCGGCGCCGGCGCTATGTCCGCTTGTTCGGGAAGGCGGGTGGCGGCCAAGGGCCCAACTTTTGGCTCCGTCCGGAAGCCGGCTGGGGCCCCTTAGTCCATGCATGCTACCAGGGAAAAGACTGTCCCATGTGCCTCTCGACGCAGAGTCCGACCGTCTCGGATTCCGGAAGCCGCCAGTATCAGCTTTGTTGCCATCGCACGTGTGCTAGTGGCTTCGCTCGATGGTCCGTGCACGTCCGTAGGCTCATTAGCGGGGTATAAGACAGCGAGCGAGTAAGGTCCTCTTGCTCGCTTCCTAACTTTCGCTCCAAACTTCGCATCAGATCCGTTTACCATTGTCGTGCGTTCTCCCGCCGCTACTCCTTGCCCCATCACGCAACTGTCCCGCTAGAACCACCACCATGCTCGCCCCCGCGCACGTGCACCTCTCGGGGATGTGGGTCAACGAGCTGATGTCGACGATGAACCTCACCGCGCACCCGTCCGGATGGCTCAATGGTTGGTACAACTCGGCCGTCGGCAACGCACAGAACAGCTACGCGCTCGCGGGGCGCTTCGACACCGCACCCCCGGGCGAGGCGAACTCGACGGGCATCACGCTCGGGTGGGCCGTGGCGTACCAGAACAGCGACCGCAATGCGCACTCGACGGCGGTGTGGAGCGGGCAGTTCTTCGCCGGGGCGAGTGAGTGGGAGGACGTCATTATGACGCAGTGGGTGCTCACGACGAGCTCGACGTTGGAGAACAACTGGGGCGCTGCGCGCGTCGGCGGGAACAAGTTCATGCGCCAGCAGAGCGGGAGTGAAGTGGAGACGCAACAAGTCTTGGAATGAAGCACTTGTCCAGAAGTCGAAGTCATGTACGATAACAAACACAGTTGAATCATAGCAGTGAATTGTAAGCACAGGTCCGGGGTTCATCGACGGTGCTTGGTACTGACGCCATCGGAGTAACCGTTGATAGCTTGCAGAGCTGCAAAAGCGACTGGCGCCAACAGTTCCCGCCATGAATTCCCGCTGCGATCTTCAGCTGGGGCACTGGGTTTCACCGCAACGAGCACCACAGCCGTGTCTTTACTCTGTCCAATACCCCGCCGCGGAAGTACAGCATCGGCGGCCAACGCCTCCTCCGCCTGCAGTGAGGTATACTATACATTTCCGCGGATGTATAATGCGGTTTCTCCTCGAGGCTGGCGATCGCTGCGGCGAGGGCGGAGCATATGACACTATTGTGTCTGGAATTGGGACTGATAATGTCCCATGGGATGCGGCCCAGGGACGGCCCGTCGTCCTCCGCAAGCCCACTCGTCGAGGTATCCTCGCCAGTGGCGGTATAGAGTCGATAGTAGCCTGCAACGCTGTCCTCAGCACAAAATAACGAGGCAAAGTAAGGCGCACAATATTCCGTAGGCGGCAGGAGAACGATATACGGCTGCGCCAGCGAGCCCAACTCGCCCCCGATGCGCTGCGTCTCTGGCAGTGGGTCGGCATCGTCTTGAATCTTCGCGGGAATAGAGGCCCGCTTGCGGCGGCAGCCCTTCGATGCTGGCGATGCACCGTTTCAGGACGGCAACAGTGCGTGGGGAAGGGATCGCGCTGAGGGGTATGCAGTTTGGAGAGGGCGTCTTGCTGGGGACGATGTAGGACACTGCATATGTGCAAGTTAGAAGGAGTCAGAGGAGGGACGCGACACACCAGAGCACGTCCGCCTCCGTGGGCAGCAGGGCCGTAGCTTCGTTGTACGACGGCGGGGCGACGCCAGTCATGGTTGATTGAGGGAAGCCAGGCATAGGTTTCTATGACTGCACGTCCACACAAAGGGAACGACGGATGGGGACGCCTTCTCGTGGCGCCCATCCAGGGGAGAGACTTTAACTAGTGCTGGCCAGAATTATCTTATGGTTGATTAAATATTGAATATATTCAGAATATTATGAATATATTATGCCCTTAGTAGATCACTTGAATATGATTATGTTTGAATATATTATATTATATTATGACTATACTATATTATAGTCATAGAATATTCAACTATAGTAAGGTGGATGATCACAGCTATGTTCTCAGTCCATGTACTCAGTCATAGTACTAATTCTAGTCTGAGTTACCCCTACTTCTGATGAATATCATATATTATCTATTATATATGGTGGTTCATACATTACTTCTAGTAGGAACAAGTGTCAGGAATGATCACTTTGGGTTGACCCTATTTGTAAGGGCAACCCTGGAGACTCCGACGAAAGCCTAGCAGGGGAGGATCCAAAGTGTGAATAAAAGCTACGGAAATACACGGAGGGACCGACCTAGCAGGGGAGGATCCAAAGAGAAGAAACTCTAAGGGTCCGCCTGCTAGGGCGCCAACTATATACTGGTTGTCTGAACTGCCGACGTAGAGCGCAGAAGGCCTGAGTGGCGTCGCAGGCTCTGTCCCAAGGTGATCGTTGGGAGGGTCTTGACGGATCGGTGATTGTGTGGGCGAAGGAGGCCGTGGACGATGGTCGGGGTGGGTCGGAGCGTCCGAGGGGGCGCCGGTCGGATGCGCCTTCGATGCGTTCGGAGGGTCCGAAGGAGGCCGAAGCGGGGGTTCCCCTGACACTATTGAACATAGTATAGAACCTGTGATCAAGTGTCTACTGGCCGACCTAATACTAGTGGCAATGCCCCTGATTGTATTTTGAGAGTCCTATGTAACCCAGATTGAAATTAAAGAGGCCTGAAAGGAAGTTGCCCAGACAATCCAGCATGTATTTTATGCTTTTGATTTTTTTTTCTAGTACCAAAATACTTATGTCAAATATATCAAGAGATATGCATACTACTAGATTCTAGTTGAATATATTCATAACATATTCATATTTTGCAGCTGAATATGATTATACTATACTACAAATATATTATTGGGTTGGAGCTCTGAATATGATATGATTATAATATATTATGCCCATAAAATAATATAATTATATTTGGCCAGCACTAACTTTAACCAAACGGAGATGGTCGTCAGGAAAGAAGCTGTTTGTGTGACGTGTCACCAAGATTGATTGATGATCATGGTGTCACCGGACTGTTTTAGAAATATTTGCTTAGTAAAAGTCAGCAGAAAAATCAAAAGTTTTGTTTCGGTTTTTATTGAGCCAAAACTTGCTGCTGTTTTTTGCCTCAATTTCTTGTCTGACAAAGTATGGGAAAAAGTTTCATATTTCTTTGCGAATTTTTTTACAAAGGGAGAACTGACAACGTTTACAGAAGACAAGTAAGGGCCTGCTTGGTGTCACCGGGTTCGATCCCAGACTCTGCCAAAACGATCCCAGAGGCAGACCATTCCCATGGCATGTCAAATATGTTATGAGTTGATGTGAGGGGAATAAGACTTGGAGTCTCGGACTTGACAACTAACACTAGTGTGATGGGAGGTCGGCGCCGGGCCAGTGGACACAGCTTGTCACATATGTCACATCATCATTTGGAGTTCTAGCTACCACATGCGGCCGGGTTAGCTACCACACTAGTATGTGACATCACAAAGGGTTTTCTTAGAAATTATAATGTTTCAAGTGCTACCAGGAAGCTTTTGAGCAGTACCATCAATTTACCATGCTATTTGATTACTATCATATGATGATTGTATTTAGTTCTCAGTCATAGCAAAGGGAATATTTGGTACTTACACTAATATGTGGTAAATGTTCAGATACTCCATACCAGGGCTCTGGTATTTCAGTTTCAGATCCTGAGTGAATATGATACTAATAATGCAATACATCTCATCTGGTACCATCACATCAACCTATTGACTGCCAAGCATGATTGAAGACTAAGTTGAGCAGTATTTTGCTGATATCCTGAAACTATATGCATGGAATCTCATAATCCAAGTTGATATAATGTCATATAATGGTCTACTATACTGTATCAATTTATTCAATTCGGCGGTCACGCTGATGAGTGCGGAGTGCGGACAGCAAATGAGCTCTCTAACCAATCTAACCCACAAAAATAACCAAACTCTACTTGTCGTAGACACCTGTGAATTCCGCATATCCTCTCTAATTAGAATGACCATTACCCCCCACTGGTCATTCTAATTAGAGAGGATGGCTCTGAAACCCTACGCTGTGATAAATACTCCAATAAAGCTGCTATAAAGTGCATAAATCCCAAGCTCTAAGGTAACTTAGGCTTATTAGTTAGCATAAGACTCAGACTTGAACTGGTATGTGACGTCACAAAGTGGTTTGTTAGTCGTTATACTACAAGTATATCATGCTATGAATGATGTTGAATAATTGAACCTCTGGTGACTTGTGTTCATTTCAGCGCCTGAGTCACACTGTTATATAGTGTCACATAGCGTGACACATTGCCAAAAAAGGAAATTTTCGCCATTTAACAGGAGAATCATCAGAGAATGTCACAGATCGTCACAAAACCAAAGTTGTATGTTTTGTTTATATGAACAACTTTCATTAAGTAACCTATAGTCACAGCTGAATGGTTATGCCAGCATTGCGAAAAAGGTTGATTTTGTGTGCCCCAAAGCGTACTATCAGCGAAACTCGGCAACAGAGAAGTGCCAATACGATGCCCGGAGAGTTTATACTCATTGGATCAGGACTAACTGCCTTAAACCCTCTGAGTTGTCTCGAGTCAGGAACTAACTGCCTTAAACCCTCGACCAGCAACCGAAACACAATAAACAGCAACCGAAACACTTGTATTCAGCAACCGAAACCCTCAACCAATAATCCTTCAACGCGATGATACTATTTCGAAAGAGCTAGCAAGATAGATTGACGAGCTAGATCCCCAGATGCACCTAGTAGAGCGGGGCAATCCCACCTGTTTATCCCAAAACCCACTGAAACACGTGAAATGAGAGCAATGGTGAATGCAGAAACAACTCCACAAACAACCAAAACACCCAAGTCAAGGTCTGTGTGTTCGGGGCTCCATGGAAAGTATATCCATGCTGCAACCCATAAGAGCAAGATGATGATGACTAAGTTGAGGTGGTGTGTGTGTGATGGGATCACTGATGACAGTGATGATGTTGATAGTTTGTAAGCTGGTGGTGGTGGTGGTGGTGGTAGTGAAGATGTTAGGTTGGGTGGAGAGGAAGGAGGTGTTGATGTAGGATAGGACAAATATGACATACAGAGTATGCCTCTTGTGGCCAAACATCCCCACAACAACAACCCACTCCACAATGGTCCCAACCCAAAACCAACACCAAAACCCAAAATGGTAGTGGTCACAGTCACAGTCACAGCTGGTATGTTGTTAATGAAAGTAGATACATTACCTGTCCCTTGTGTTGTCTTCATCCTTGAGAGTAGAACAGCTAGCATCAAGAGCATCAGTTGCCACACCATAAATGGCATAAACAACTCCAATATGGGTCGCTCCATCCAAAGAGGGCGACGTTCCATAAAGGGAAGCACATCTGAGCATAGTTTCCCCATCTTTATGTCTTCACATCAACCTGGCACTTCAATGTCCAAAATTTGACAATAGTTCCAGTATATCAGACAAATTGGCAATAGTTTCGGCGTTCTCAGGTAGTCTCGGTGTCGTCGGGTAGCATTCTTGTGTTCGGATCACGTAATCACAGTGTTCGTCGTCGTCGTCGTCAATGTCAAAGACCTTTCCACTATGGGGAGCAAGACAACCGCTATGGGGGGTGCATTGAATTCTGAGGTATCTAGCACAAACTCGGGCTCAATATATACTACTCGCTTATCTAATTTTGATGGCCCTGGCCGCCCCGGCCACGGTCACATGCTGTTTCACTGTAATATTTCGCCCACTTTGCGACGCGTCGCACCTCA